AGAAGTAAACCCCTTCCTCCTGTAATGCCTGCACAATGCCCTATACTGCAAAGCTTCAGTGCCAACAGGCAAAAAGGATATACACACACACACACACACACTTATTTATTTATTTATTTATTTATTTATTTATTTATTTATTTATCTATTTATTTATTTAAAGGGTCACATCTATTTTTGCAGAGCAAGTAAAAAGGATGAATTTGGAGCAACAAGCACAGAGAGTCAGGTCCATTCATTCTTCTCTAACACCATTGCCATAGCTGTAGTTCAGACTTATTCATTTGCTCACTTTCTCTTTTTATTCCTTGTCTGGAATGTTGAAAGAGTCTAGGAACTGGTCTCCTGGCTTGGCTGCCACTCACCCAAATGATGATGTTGTGTGAATTTGCAAAAGAAGGGCCTTCCTTTGGGTGTACACAGCCCAATGCCTGGGTATCAGCTCTCATGGACCCTTGCTAGGTATGCCCTGCACAGCTGACAGCAGAGGTCTTATTCCTCCTCTGCCCCTAGACTCCAGTCTTCCTTGGCCATATCACTCCAGATTGCCACCACTTTTCTACAACCTAAACATGACAATATAACTCACCTTTTAACCCCTCAAAACTTCCCTATTACCTACTAAATAAAATCTAAACTCCTTAAAAAGGCATACAAAGTCCTCTGTGATCTGCCTCTTGCTTTCTTCTCCAGTTTATTGAATACCTAAATGAACAAAAATGAAACCATAAATCAAAGAAAGAATGAACTCATGAATTTCAGGACAGAAGTTGAACATCAAGGGTCTAGTCTCTATAAGGACAAACAATAATCAAATTTGGGGCAGCCTCTGACTTTTCTCTAAGCTGTGGGAGTAAGTCTCAGTTAAGAGAGTACTCCCAAGCAGGCACATTATTTCCTCTTGCATATACCTCCCCTACCGAGACAAAGTTTTTATGGTCATTTTTCCCTATTTCTTTGCCTTTTATCCACATATTCCCATCATCAAAATCAGTGAGGCCCAGCCTCTGAGAGTCTACCCATTCACTGTTTCCTCTCCGTTCTACCAGTCCTCTCCACCTTGTATTTACAGTATGGGAACCACATGCCACATAGTCCCTCATTCAACAGCCTGGCCCTGTACTAGGTGCTGGAGATATAGACATGAATGACACATAAGCCCTCCAGAATGACCTCCATGTCTTTGCCAGGACAATCTTCCTTGCTTTCAGCAAGTTTTTCCCCTGCTCAGGGACCTAAAAACGTACCTGTTGCCTACTCACTCATTTCTAAATTCATACTCCACTTTCATTCACTCAACAAGTGTAACTGAAGGCTTAACATGCCAGGTACTGGTACTAGGTATAAAGCAGTGGATGAGATAGGCATGGGCCCTGTCCTCAAGGAATGGAGTCCAGTGAGGAAGACAGACATAAAAGCCAAAATCACAGAAATAACTATAAAACTATTACTGTTTAACTACAATCATTTTGAATGATTTGAGGGGTGCTTATAAAAGTATGTAAACAAGAGATTTAATCTAATCTAAACCAGGAAGCGAGGCAAGGCCTGAGATCTGAGTAGGAGCCCAAGTGTAGGTATGTGTTGGGAAGAAGAGTGGTTGTTGAATGTCCCAGGAAGAGGGAATAGCTTATTCAAAAGTCTAAGATTGAGGATACAAGGAGTATGAGAAAATGTGTGCCTACAGCATAGCAAACAAATGGGAGAGTGGCAGATAAGGAACAGATCATGCAGAGAATTGCAGTTTGTATTAAGGTCTTTGAACTTTATCCTAAAAGTTATGAAGAGCCATTGACGGTTCTAGAGCATGTGGTACCATGACCTATGTTTTTTTCCCTCAACATTTTATTATGAAAATGTTCAAACATAGTGAAAAGAATTGTACAATGAACACCTCTCAGTTTGCTCCTGACTTAATTTTTAAATCACATCACATTGACAGTGTCTAGGTGTTAAAAAGGAGGAAAGAAATTTAATCTCTTCTTCCCAGGGAGGCTACAAGGAAGTTTAGAAATGATACAGCCTGGCCAATAAAATGGCTAGAAATTAATAAGTGCACAAAAACACATGGGATCGTTGCAAAATTCAAAACACAATTACTGGGAGAAAGTGTACTAGAATTTTTTTCTCAGGTACACCCTATCCGATTTCATCTTTATAAACTATGACTCCAGGTCCAAAGTAATGGTTTGAATCTTTTTAATCACTATTTTTTCTTATTAGAACTTGAAATAAAGCTGCTTAAGGTGCTTAAAGCTATGAAAACTCCACAAACACTAATTTAGTTTCTAAGGTAATTGGAAATTCTCCTGGTAAGTGGAGTTGATGAGGCAAGGGGTATGGAGAAGAAAAGAAAAAAAAAATTTAATTATACAGGAAGTAGAATTGATGAGCTATGTTAACTAATTAAATAAGGAGCGGAAGAGAGAGGAAAGTTTATTTATTTTTTTATTAAAGATTCTATTTATTTATTTGACAGAGAGCAAGCACAAGCAGGGGGAGCGGCAGAGGGAGAACGAAAAGCAGACTCCCTGCGGAGCTGGGAGCCCAGCATGGGGCTCAATCCCAGGACTCTGGGATCATGACCTGAGCTGAAGGCAGACGCTTAATCCTGACTGAGTCACCCAGGTGCCCCTGGTAAGAAAGTTTTAGCAGAGACATTTAGATGGCAGAGGAGGAGATTATTAAAATGATTAATTTTGGACATGTTAATGTTTTAAAAGATTTTATTTATTTATTTATTTATTTGAGAGAGAGAATGAGATAGAAAGAGAGAGCATGAGAGGGGGGAGGGTCCGAGGGAGAAGCAGACTCACTGCTGAGCAGGGAGCCCGATGAGGGACTCGATCCCGGGACTCCAGGATCATGACCTGAGCCAAAGGCAGTCGCTTAACCAACTGAGCCACCCGGGCGCCCTGGACATGTTAATTTTTATAAGCCTCCGAAATATCCAGGTAAAAATTCAAGCAGGCAACAGGAATTTAAGCACAAAACTGAGGAGGGTGTTCAAAGATGTAAATATAAAATTGGAAGCCAGCAACATGTAGGTCACCGATTGAAACCATGAAAAGAGTTGAGGATGGCTCTAGAGAGTATGTGAAAAAGGACAATTGTCACCTTGAGTCATCACCAAACCTCTGGGTCTCTGGTGCCTTAAATACTGATGCTGTGCCAAGTAAGACTCAAATTGCCAATTCTTACAACTCAATAATAAAAAGACAGATAACCCAACTAAAAAATGGGCAAGGTATCTGAATAGACATCTCTCCAGAGAAGATCTATACGTGATTGATAAACACATGAAAAGATGCTCAACATCATTATTAGGAAAATGCAAATCAAAACCACCATGAGATACCATTTCACACTCATTAGGGTAGCTAGAATTAAATGGCAGTTCCTCAAAAAGTTAAACATAGAGTTACCATACAACCCAGCAGTTCCACCCCTAGGTATATTCCCAAAATAACTGGAAATGTATGTTCAGACAAAAACTTGTACATGAATACTCATAGCAGCAGCTATTATTACTCATAATAGCTAAAAAGTGGTAAAGTGCACTTTTGGGTACAAAAGTCTATCAACTGATGAATGAATAAATAAAACATGATATATCTATATAATAAAGTATTATTCACTAATAAAAAAGAATGAAATTCTGATACATGCTACAACATGGATGAACCTTGAAAACATCACATTAAGGAAGCCAATTACAAAGGACTTCATATTATAAGATTCCATTTATATGAAATGTCCAGAATAAGCAAAACTATAGAGACAAAGTAGATTTCAGATTCCTTAGAGCTGGAAGGGTTGCAGGAGGACAGTGGAGAGGGAGATGTACAATGACTACTAATCAGTACAGGTTTCTTTTTAGGGTTGATGAAACTGTTGTGGCGATGCTTGCACAGTTCTGTAAATACAATAAAAAAACATTTGAATTGTTCACTTTAAATGGGAGCATTGCATGGTATGTAAATTATACCCTAATAAAGCTGTTTTTAAAAACTCAAATGGCTCTTTACAGGTACCAAAGTACCTCACCAGCCGGGTACCATACTTTTTTTTTTTTTTTTAAGATTTTATTTATTTATTTGAGAGACAGAGAGAGAGAATGAGAGATAGAAAGCACGAGAGGGAAGAGGGTCAGAGGGAGAAGCAGACTCCCTGCCGAGCAGGAAGCCCGATGTGGGACTCGATCCCGGGACTCCAGGATCATGACCTGAGCCGAAGGCAGCCGCTTAACCAACTGAGCCACCCAGGCGCCCCCATACTTCTTTTTTAATGGGTGGGGAAATGACAGGTGCAGAGGATGAAGTCTAGGCAGTACAGTACTGTATTTATCAAAAAAACAAAAACAAAAAACAAGTATAAGTGGACCAGAGCAGTTCAAACCCATGTTGTTCAAGAATCCACTATACATCATGCTTTTGTTGGGTGATAAATGAATTAATCATCCCTCCTGTGACATCATTATAGTAGATACCTCTAGCACTTAAAATCACAGTTTATACATGTGTTTAATGGTTCTCCCTTACTAGACAGTGCACTTTTTCAGAATAGTGATTGCGTCTAATTTCAGCACATCAAGAACTGACAGAGTGCTTGGACACTTAATAGGTGCTCAAATGAAGGTTATTTTCAGGAAGGAAGCAGCCACTATTGAATTTAAATAAATGCAAAGTAAAGCATGAGACCCAGTAGGGATATCTGCCCTCTCCAACCAAAAGAAGGCACAAAAAGGGCAAAAATTAATAAAGCAGAAGAAAGGAATCAAGGATGGGAGAAAAGGGCATCTCCTCCCTCCCACCGCCAGGACGGTTTCCCTGGAAAGTTCAAGAAGAGATTCGGGTGTGGCCGGTGACATCACGGCACCCCGGGCGACCACCAACCACTAGGGCAGGCCGTCCATCACGCTTACTTTCCCGCCTCACTGTAACTCAGAGACGGTGGGTAGGGCCCCGCGAGCCGCGGGACTTACGTCACGTCCGGTTCCGGACGCGCCACAGCTAGAAAGGGAAGGCCGAGCGCGGAGGGGCGGAGCCAAGAAAGCGCGCGTTCGGAAAGGGGGAGGGGCCGGGTTAAGGAGCGCCGCGTCACGTCCGGCAGACTTAGAGCCCGTGCGGAGGCGGTGCGGAGCGCTTCGGTACTCAGCGGCTCGGGAACCTGTGCGTTCTGTGAGGCTGCGGCGGAGCCTCCATATAGAAGGCGCAAGAGGTTGGCAGCTTCGATTGAAGCACGTCGAGCGGCGACAGCAGCTAGGAGTCATGAGCGACAGCGGCGAGCAGAACTACGGCGAGCGGGTACGTAGAGATGGTGCAGGGGGCGGCTGTGTGGTTCCAGCTTGCATCTTTTACCAGGCCCGTCGGCCTCGGACCTGGAGATAGCGGCGATTTAGGCTCCGAAGTCTGAGGCTGGGAAGCACGGGAGTTGGGTTTAAAAATACTTGCGGAGAGTGTCTTTAGTCATTAAATAGGCCACCGACGGGTTTATGTGGCCCCCTACCCGAGACGGCGGGTTTTTTTCCGTTAGAAGAGGGGGAAAGATTAAAAATGGCCGCTGCGTCCCCTTGGTGTTGGGGGAGGGGAGGGGAGCGGTATCTTATTTCGCCGTTGCTCTCCTGCGAAGCCTCGCTGCCGCCATCTTGGGCTGGCGGGCCGGGCGCGCTGCCAGAGGCACAAAATGGCGGAGGAGCCGCGCGTCAAGCCGGGCCCGCGCCTCACAAGGCCGCGTGGGGGTGGAGAAAGAAAGGCAACGTTCTCTGGGGGGTTTCGCCCGGCGTTTAGTTTAAGAAAGGATCGTCTTATGGACCCCAAAAGACGGAATCTAGAGTGTTCTTGGGGCCTCTTTTAGGGTGGGGGAAACGAATCCGAGGTAGACAAGTTCTGGGCCCGTTAGAGGGGGTTCGTGCGGGCTTTGTATTTGGCCTAAATGGAGAGTGCTTTCAAACGAAAAATCGTTATCAGAGCATCCAGTGTACTAGCTAGCCCCGAGGCCGCAGAGGTTTTCTTTTATGGAGTGGATATTTTTCACGGGATTGTGCAGAAGAAACTGGCGGGCAACAGTTTAGGGCGCCGTTATTTCCTTTGTTTTCAGGCATTCTAAGTCTGAACCACAGCTTCTGTTGGTACACTTTGACTCTGAGTCTCCACCTCCCAAATGTGGAGTTCGGTGGGGCTTAAATTACAGGTATACGACAGTTTCCGGGCTTAAAAGGCGTAAAACAAAGCTTGTCAGAATCTTGCACATTTTGGAAGTTATGGAGAATTTCTTAGGTGGTTAATAAAAAGCACCATAGAAGTCGATTTTTTTTTTAAGAAGGCGATTTTTTTAACTTTGATAAGGAGTAAAGTGGGTTCTTTTACAGTTGACCTGTTGGGTTTTCCCTTTCTCCCAGTGCCATCCAAAGATCTCAGCAGTCGTCAGGTAAATCTATTCAAATATATTAGCAAGCAAACTGCTATAAAACAGATTTGGGGCCCTTCATTAGGAGGGCATTTAAAAAAACAATTCCTATCTTCTGGAACGTTGTTGTACTGTGTAACTGGAGCCAAATCTGATTTAGCCTGAAATAACCAGGCTTTACCGGTACAGAGGAATATTGGCTTTTTACGCTTTTCTCTAAGACGGTTGATGACACCATCACCGGTGCGTCTACCATTTTTAAGCTCTTGCTTTCTTACGGTAATAAAGTTTCGATTGAGCCCACAGATTGTTAAAGCTGTGATTTCTGATTCTACCAGTTGACTATACTGTTGAAACTAGTAACTGGTGTTTGTACTGGAAAGCAAATGATAAATTTAAGTCTTCAGTTTTCTAAACAATTACTGAGTATTTCCTGCGCTACTGAGAGAATACAAAATGGCTGGTTTCTGAGTAGAAGAGCTCTCAGTTGAATATACCTGAATAAGTTACTTGTAATGGTGTGCTTGTGAAGACGAAAATTGTCCAAAAGTGAATTGGCATATTTACATAAGAAACAACTGTTGGAAGTAGGTTCCTGGCTTGAGACCGCTTGAGGGGCGTCATCCCAATTTTTCAACATTCTTGAATTGGTTTTTTTTTTTCTAGTAGTGAAACAAACATCCTAGTTTTTTTCCCCATCTTGTTTATATAGGTTAGGTATTTACTAAATTCTTACAGAAGGAAAGTTATAAAATAATTTTAAGCTGCATGTTAGAAATTAATTTTTTTCTTACATAAGAGTTCTGAATCCTGGAAGTGTTTCTAAACTTCGAAGTAGTGGAATACTTAAACATTGTTTTATTTCGCAGTTTGTTTTGTATGTAGATTGCTTTCCAATTGGTGTATTGGAACCTGAAGAGGTTAAATAGACCTTTAAAAAAAAAAAGGCACGTTGAGGTTCCTAAAGAACATCTGGCAAAACCCTAAAGCTTAATAGAACAGATTAGATATAATGCCATTAAAAAAGACTTAAGTGTACGTAACGGGCAGGTCTGATTGGCTAAAAACTTCCTTTTGAAAGTGCCTGAAAGCAGTGAAAAAGTTGCATTCGGGGTAATAATCTTGGACACGCCTGGTGTGAATAGCTTCTCTAGAACCTGAAAAATTACTGTGAATCCACTCTAGGCCCTCAAACACTTCAAACTATTAATGTAAATCAATACAAGCCTAATCAGTACTGTTAATGTAATCACTTGTAATACAAACCATCTCAGTTTGGCTGGAATCCCATCCACTGCAAACCTACCCCATCTCCCTCTTAATTTAGCTGTCCAGAATCCAGACATTCCTGCGGTACCTGCGGCCCCAGCATAGTCCTGGAAATACTTTTTTCCTTACTTTTGACTTTTGAAGTTCCTTTCCTAAACAGACTGGTTGTATGTGTGCAGTAAATTGTTCTCAGTTTGATCACCTTTATTGAGTGAATATATTGACACAACTGTGGTTAAGTGTGTCCCCTTATTTTAAATGCATACTTAGGGTACGTTCTAGAATTTTTGTGCTTCACGTCACACTTTGAGTTATGGCAGAGTAGCTTTTACCTTTATTTGTGGGGTTTTTTCATGTGAAAGTTGATTTAAATTAAAATCTGTCTCTAGAGTTGACTTCCTTGATGTAGCCCAACCTGTGCAAAATTATTTTTGATCTCCCAAGTTCCATTCATTTCCAGTACTTTCCAAAAAATACTTGCAAACATTTTTTGGGAAAGGGTTGACCAGCACCTTTGCAAAAAGTATTCTTAGCAGCTGTGTCACAATTTGGATGAGTAAGAATATGGTAAAAGAGTAGCAAGTTAGGAGGTGCATAGTAATATTGGGGGGTAATCTTTAAGGTCCACTAATGGTCACAGTATTTAGAGTATGCAATGTTTGTGTGTTTGGTCTTGGCACTGGTTTAATGCTCTGCCTTCCTAATGATTGTAATTTCTTTAAGATTCTACAAATGCGTCTATACTCAGAGAATCCAGAAATCAAGGAAATACTGTTGTATGAACCAGATGGTTTGGATTTCTGTCTTGCTGTCAGGATTACAATAGCAAGCAGTTTAAGAAAATTTTCTGGTAGAATATGGCCTATAGTTTTTGTAGAAATAATGTTTGCAATGTAGATATATTATCTTTAGTCTTATTCTTTATGGATATGAATAGCATCTGGATACCATCCCATCAAACTGCTTTTTAGATTTCTGCAGTTTTTCTCTTCTGCTTAATCTTGGGTTGTCTTTCTTCTGTATTCTTTGTTTTTAGCCCCTAACTCTGAATTCTGATTTTCAAAAACTGGAACATCTGAATCTATTTCTTTCTAAAGAATTACAGCCATCGCACCAATTCCTTTAATAAAGGATTGAATTAATGTCCAGTGGGAGGAAATAGTTTGCATTGTTTCACTGTGAGTCTGGTTAGGTATGAGTCTTGAAGAAACCAGGTTGAAGAATATTTTTCTTGGTTTTAACTAAGAATGTTTTAATGTTATGGATGTCTGGAACTAGAAGGTTGCATTTTCAAACTGAAATTACACGTGATTACAAGGTAAGTACTCTGGTTTTGTAAAAGACTAAAGAGGAATTCAGGTGGTGAGAGATGTTAATAGCATTTACCTTTTCCCCCTTTATCTCCAATAAAGCCCAAAATCTAAGTGATAAATATTAACATTTTCATAGTTCACATTTTGCCCAAGAGAAGGACAGAGCTACAATTGTGTCTTATTTTTTGAGCTTTAGCATTCTGTCACGTTGATCAGTTTTCATTCGTAATTGTATTCTTTTTTTAGAAGGGATGGTGATGGAAGTTTAGGAAATTTTAAGTGTTTTTACCCAACGTAGTTTTTTGAGGTATGGGTTACATTGAATTTCAGGTATTGTTGTCACTTAGTCTTGTTTTTAAGCAAGCCAAAAAAAAGATTTTTCACTATAGCAAATTGGACTTTTCAAATTCCCAAAATCTTTCTGAATTAGGTTGTGGACGTTATTTTCAGATGCTGCTTTGATCAACATAGATTGCCCGATAGTGCAGCATGCTAGAGGCCCCTTTTCAGAGTCTGTATTATTGATGCAAGAGATGGGCTTACACAACTGATATAGGCAAGTCAGATGAAGGGGCGCTGCCCCACCTCCAGGGATTTTTCTCCGTCTTTTGAAGATTTTTCTCCACCCAACGTTCTGGTAGAGTTTGACTACAGAGAAATAAAATAGCCCATTGATGTGAGCATTAACCTCTATATTTCTAGCAGGATCAACAAATTTTTCTTTGCTCTGTTACAATTTTTAAGATATTATCTGTCAGCAACCTGCAGAGTTTGTACATGTTTTTAATGTTATTTGAATTCCAGCCATAATTGTGTTGATGATGGGAGAAGTTTCTGCTTATTTCTGTTGGATCTCTTAACATTAGCCCAGTAGTTGGTCATCTGGTTTTATTAAAGTGGCCACTTGAGCTTAGTAGTTGAATTGAAATAAACCTAATATTTACATTATCTAGCAACATGTTTTGATCTTCGAATATAAAAGAAGGAAGATGGTTGGGAAGGGGTAATAAAAAAAAAAAAGGCAGGAAGGCGTCCATATTGAAAAGTTCTGATACCTAGAGCTTTGGCCTCCATTCTAGTATCTAAGCCCTGTATCTGTATGTTATCTTTAGGAGGCCATAAAGAGGAAACCTGCTTGGGCATTCTGATTCCACGATTACATTTGTGCTGCCAGCAAACATTTCCCATTACATTTTAGTGATGGATATTAAAAGAAAATCAATTAATGTGACTCCCTTAAATAAAAAGCTATTTAAAATTTTTCCTGGATTAAACAAACAATAATTGACTTTCCAAAAAAGACGACTGAAAATTGT